CCATACAATGAATACTTAATTTGCAAAATGTCAATCAATTGTCTCAAACTTGACTGTTCTTTCGTTTCCACATCAATTCTTCTTCGTTCTCGTTCTCTTTTTTCGATCTTCACAACCTTCTGCCTCCAGGCATTTCACTTTCGATCGACAATATGTTCTACTTATATCTGTCGACATTAGTAGCACACACCACAGAAATACCCTCCTACCGTTTACTTCATAATTATTATGTTAAAAGTATTGATTACCAGTACCGGTTATTTACTCTTTGATTTAGTTAGTAGAGTCTAGCACAAATGTAAGTTGAATCAAGTTGCCATATTATAAAGATATCATAAAAATACCAAGACGGATAATGAAAAAGTCAAGAAAACGTGGTAGCAATGATGGTAAGAAAGACTGCGCAGTGAGAATATAGCTCGAAAAGATAGAATGAAAATGCATATTTGAAGGAATACGGGATTTCAGCATTTGGAGTAAGATAAAAGGTAAATGAATGTGTGCCGTCGTAAACTGTTCTAGGCCATTTCACCCACAGTTTCCACCCACTGATCATGATTATCACTCAGACCAGGACCAGTTAGTCCGCATCTATCGATGTAGCTCAAACCAATAGTCAGTGACTTCATGGACCAATATTATGTTTTAGTTGGTTTCTTCTAACTTACTCTTTTCTAGACCAACTTACTTCACGTGTAGAGATACTAGATGGTTAGGATTAAGTAAAATATCTCTCAGCGATATTAACTTTTGGTCATTATTATTTCTTAACTAAAGAAAAGAACTGACTGATTATTGTCCCCACGTGTGTTGTCGTTGATGCCCACTGCTCCCATGGTATCAATGGTGGTCTAACATCGGTTCATGATTTCAGTGAAACTCCACAATCTCTTCAATCTTGTACTTTCAAAACAATCGATTTGATAGATAGCCAATCTGATTTCATCATACTTAAAAAAGCTTTCTGAAACGATGAATACGAAGGAATTAGGTAACTAATGAACATTAAGCTGATTTAACTAAATATTCATCCCCCCCCCAAAAAAACAATTTGAGCAGTCATATATTTTCGTTAACCTTTATAACGGGCTTCACAATTAGAAACGGAAATATTTATTCAGAATGTTCGAATAATGGTAGTTAATAGAACTGTCATCATTCATTTATATCAGTTTAAAAAAAAGAAATTGTCAATAATAATTATAGTAAATTCATGAAAGTATAAATATAGTTTATTAGAGATGGCGGAGAAGATTTGTAGCTCAGGTGGGTGATTTTGTGCTGATGATGTCGTTCAGAAGAACGATGAAAGCTCCACGACCAAACCATCCAGCTCAGAGAACAAAACTCCATGAAAATAGTTAATCGGGGGTAGAAATGTAACAGAATAAATGAACTATTGTGAATAGAGTATAAAATGAGACTGACGATGTGGGACTCACAAACTATTCCTAGTTATTGTAATATTGAACCTTTTAAGCAATACCGATAAACTGTATGTTTTTATTTCGATGTAATATTCACTGATACTATATTAATAAATTGAATATGGTTTTCTTAGTTTAAATCATAAATTGATCCTCAAGAAGTGTTCCATATTAGGTAGAAACAGTCATTTAGTGTCACAATTGATTGATCACTAGGTGGTGATCAATGTCATGTATGCTGATCGAATGCTATCGATCAAGTTGCAATGTGGCCACTAGTCTAGGTGGCTCGACACCGCGTGCAGTATGTTGAGATAAGTTGGTGGTTGGAGGTGGTCAACAGGAAACCCTGGACCCGGGTTTCGGGCTACTTGGCATTCGTCAACAAGATGGTCCTGTAATCTTGAGGGAACTGTTGCTGCCTGACTGACACGGGATCGAATCTTATCTAGCCATTTAGTGTTTCTATATTTTCAATGGTTGCCTGGATAAGGTCAGTTCATGGTTTAAATTATGGACATTCTACAATATTCATAGATTGTAATTATTTTTGATTCATTGGAATCTAGTCGAAAATTTCGAGAATAAAAAATCTACTGAATTATTTTCGTAATATATACGAATATTCGTCAAGGTTAGAACGAATAGTTTGACAATAATTGGGCGCCGAGTATAGAGAAGTTATTATATGTGAAAAAATTATATTTGAAATAGTCTCAGCGATTGAAATTTAAATAATCCCAACGTTTCATCCAGCTAACTTGTCTGGACTTCTTCAAGGAAATAATCAAAATCAAAATCATCATCATAATACACTTTGATGAATAAGCTAAAACAGGTTAATACAATTGATTATAAAGTGTATTGTATGATAATTTCTTTCTTATTGATACGGGACATGAATATTCATTTTCTTTAAGCAAGAACTAGAGTTTAACAGTCAAACAGATACTGGTCAAGTCATTTCATAAATTTATTTACTACATCGAAACCATGAAACAAAAATTAAAATCGAGTTTTTATATTAATAAACTCATATCTGGGTAACTAGTTAACCATTAACAGTACACCTGAACTGATTTTAGAAAAAATGGATCCAGGCATCTAAAGAAAACATTTTTTGTTGGATATAAAGGGTATTGTTCTCTATATATTGCAACTTTTTCAAAATAGATACAACAAACATTATTGTATTCAATGTACTCATATCTATATAACTATTACAATTGTGAATGTGAATGCATTGAAATTTGAAAATAAGATGTTTTTGGTTAACCAGTATATAGCTAGGTTATTCGAAAATAATAGAATGATTATGTCAAAATTGTAGTTTAGTCATTTACTATTGTGTTTGAATAATTTAACAACTTAGAAACTATCCAAAGAGGGAATAAACAAATTCGATAGTTGACAAATCAATATAGCTCACTGGTGATGAATGTCCAGTGATATATAACCGACCTAAATAGATTTAGAAAATAAAAAAAAAGAAACCATATCAAAACCTATAACGTAAGGTAAATAGTATTCACAACTTGTTACTGTTAATCGGTAATCAAAGTGTACTACATAGTGTTAACGTTGTATTTGTCTCGATCGATAATGCATTTCTCTACTTTAAATTACTTTCATACCATAAATTATGTTTGTAGTATCTTACAAACTTAGTGAGTTGTATAACTTTGCTAGATAATGCAAAAAGGGCTCGTTAAATACTAAAATCTTCACTAATGGATGGAATTGTAATTTTGAAATAAAGCTGATTTCTAAATTCACTTAGTATTGTTTGTTTGAATCTTTCCACTTATGTTTAGGACTGAAACTGGTCAGTCTCTAATTAGCATATATGCATACTGTGCGTATTGCTTCGATATAGCCTTAATTCACAAGCATTTTAAACAAAGACTCAGTAGCTGAGTCGATAACGCGATGGTGTTTGAATCGAAAGGTACTGGGTTCGTGTCCCAGAGTGAACATCAACTCTGAGATGCAGGTACATCCAACTGACGAGTCCCAAATAAGACGAAACGCGCGTCCTGGATTTCACTGTTAGCCACTATCCATCTTTGCTTACAGAGCTTATTTCTATTTGCCTGATTATATGGTGCTAAAAGAAATGAATTATGAATTGAGTAGACGAGTAAGCAAATACAAAATCAAAACAAATAGGGATTGAACCATGAATGCTTAGAAGGATATTAGAATGTTAAGACGCCCTTTCACTTCTTACTTTGCTTAGGATTTTACAGTATTATTACTGGTCTAGATGAACAATATGGTTCCAACTCGAGTACATAAGACGAGCAAAAAGGTTACGTAGTGTATCAAGTAGCTAGTTATTATTTCATTTAGCTAATATTTTTTGATATCGAGCTTAAATAAATTCTAATGTCAAGACGATGGTGCAATTCGACTATCAATTATATTCTCACTTGTTGTATTTTCCAGTGGTGGTGACAAATACAAGTTACACATTAGATCGATCTTATAAAATACCATTCACCTAAAACTGTTTTTTTATCGAGATTCAATGAACCTATCGGTATTTCATTTTTAATATCTAGGACTTATGTTTCTACATTTATTGGATGTTTGTTAAATGAGTTCCTTTTTACTGTGATCTTAATTCTAAATATATGACAAGGTCTGATGGAATATAAACAGACCTTTCACATTTCAAAGTACTATTTTAACATTAGAATTTAGAATAAATGTAAGTTTTTTTAAAGTTAATTAACTGGAAAGAGAAAATTTCTCTGATGTAAAATTAATGGGATGGGTGAAATTGAGTAAAAATTAGCTTATGAACAACTGTTTTTAAGGATCGTCATGGAAAATGATAGCTTCATTCGAAGAGTATAACTTACATAACATTTCAGTTAGCGATGTGGACTGGTTCACGTTGTTCTTTTGATTATGAAGTAATAAGTATGTTAAACCAGCTGTTCATTAGCTAATAATCAAAGTTGCATTGGATTCTGTTCAATTTTCTATCCATCAGGCTTATTGATTTTAATTTGTATTTCTATTCTGATTTACATAAAAGATTTAATAACAGTCATTATGAAGCTATCAGTTTCCGTTTCGTTTACACTTGCCAAGCTAGATGTTTCCTCATTCAAAGACAGATTCATGAAACACATGTAATTTATTGTGTTATTCGTATTCATTATCACACAGTTTATTAATAAGTATTTGGAAATTTCCTTAACACCGAACGTAATTTTATACTTGGAACTAAACAGTTTCATAACTTCATATTTTCTTGGATTACATCTTTTGTGCTGTAACTGCTTACACTACTCAGGAATATCACTGTGCTGATGTAGTGTGGTAACTTGGATCAGTGAACATCACTGCAAGGGTTTACGTTGCTTAAAACCGGTCTATTGACTAGTTTTATAGTCTGATCAATGTATAAATATTAAGCAATTACAGTATTTTATATTTACATTATATTCCGAATGAAAATAAACTATACATAATTATTTTAGTCTTAGTAAACAGTTTTTATCTTACCTTCATTTTTGCGCTTAACCGATCATTTTCCGTATTTTGTTATTATTTGTTTAGAAAATGAAAGAGAAGAAAAAGTTCTCTTTTCGGAAGTTGATTGGTAAATGTAAGCGATTATCTCATATCCATACGTATTATTATCATCATACTTATCCATGTTATTTGATTATTTTTACCAAGGTGTATTTAGTCAGTCAGTCTGTCAGCTACAACGTAGGACCAGGCACATATATGCATCGGTCCAAGTTACCATACCTCGTTAGCACAAGATGAGCACCGAATTCATAGTTAATTTAGTGGTGGTAATAAATAGAAGGAAGGTCGTATATAAGGATATGGTATTAGGAAGAAAGACAGATATGAAGCCATTTTAATCTCAAAGTTTAAGGGAAGATAAAGAGTGTATGCACCTGCACCATTGTGATCAATTCTGAGCCATGTCACACAGAGTCTGCAACCATTGGTTACGATAGTCACGCGGAACCCAACCAAGTAGTCTGCATCTACCAACATGGCTCAAACTAGAAGTTAGTGACTTTGTGGACTGATGCCACGTTTTGGTTTGGCCGCCCCTAACTTTCTTCCAACCATTGACAATACTAGTCAGCATAGCGCTTCGTGGTAATCGGTGTATTGAATGAGTACCTGGTAATAAAAGTAATACTGCCTTTTATTGTATTAATAAATGATGGGATTTTTACATTCCTGAAAGGAAATAATCAATCGTTTAAAATGCCATGTACATTTTGGTACGATCACTGTACGTTTTATTAAATAAGTAATGGGGTTAGGTTAGAAAATTCTCGACTTATGATCACAGCTTTTTGAGACCTGAAAGAAACTGTTCTATTTTTGGGTAGTCAAACTTTAATCATTTTGTCCCATCGGTACAGATATTACTAGTGGGGTATTCACATGTTGAACGACGTTCCATATGGCTAGATTATCCCATGAATCAATCAGTAACCACTGTCATACAAACATTCAGTACTTTTAAACAAAAATTAAATCGATCTGTGATATCAGATTATTTAAAAACCATGGTGACAATTACAGTGCATGATAAATAGAATATTTTAAAAACAAAAGAATGTTTGAGCGGATAATTGTTTTCAATCACTTTGTCATCAGGCTGTATAATTATTTCATTAAAGTCGAAATAAGGTATGCATTAGTGAATTAGACAATTTCATATGTTAATAATGATGAACTTTTGTATCTCTTACTGAATGTATACTTCAAAATGGTGTCATTTCTATATTTAAAATGTCTTTTACTAAAGGTCGATAATGAAGAATAAACAATGTGATATTGATCACACTTGAGTAACTCATATATAAGTTATATTTTTTCAGGTATGTATTTACTAAATATACAGTCTTAGTGTACAATAGTTCAATAAGTTAGATTATTGTCTAAAGTACATCATAGGAACATAGAATGCATTGCTATTAAAAAACGAGTAGTTCATTTTAATATAAATATCAAAATTTATCGGAATTATCATCATACACTGTATGTGATGTAGAGTCCCCAAAAGCCCTGATATGGCTGAGGGTGAGGAGAGTCAGCTCTCCCTCTAGAAATGCGCTCACATGATCACGCGTATACAGTTACTGCCAGGGAGTCCTACTCACTGCCTTCTCGTGGCGGGGGTGTTGTTTACGAAAGTGAGAGGTCGAAAAGCGAATGTCTGGAGCTTTAATCAGGTTGATGGACACGGAGGGTCCACCTACCGAAGTTGGAAAACTCTGATTCTAAACTAACGGCACACATGGGCTCCAGTATCCTGAATGAACAAATGGCGTATGAACCAGTTTTTTGTCACTGACTACCAGGGGACTGCATTTCCCAACGTTGCTCCACTGACTTGTGGATCAGACGTTTTGGTCGAAAGTTCCGAGTTGGTCCCCCTAAGAAAGCCACCTGCTTCTGTTTGATCACCCGGGTGGTATCATAACCCGCACACAAATCAAGTGACTTGTGTGGCACATATGTATTTGGTGCCCCTTTGTATCAATGTACCAATGTGTTCAAATAAATAAATAAATAATGTGACATAGCTAAGTATTCTTACATAACGACTTGCCCGTAGTAATTGTTTAATGTTCTTTTACAGTATAGGAACTGAGTTATGTGAAGTTTTTCGGAGTATTTAATGGGTCATCCCAACCTTTAGTCTTTGGTTTCCCTCTGTTTGTTTATTATTGACAAGTGATATTGGCGTTATGTGGGAAGATTGTATCTTTATATCAAAGTGAACTTGAATCATATAAAGAAACTTATAAATAATCATCCACAAAGTAGATTACGTCAGTAAGATGGGTTTGAATTTCTTAGATACAGGAAAGAGTATTTAATGTATCAGCAAGTGATTAATGTTTAGTAACCCGTTATCTAACTCCAGATATATTAGGATGTTTGGTATCGAAACATATATTCCTCCGATCCTAGCACATAATTATCGACTTAACTCGCGTTAGTGAATAACAGAATTCAATACGTAAAATACGAGTATTTGGGATATGTATATTTCAATAACAAGCAGCAAACGATCCAACTGGTGTCAGATCTCGGGCCACTAAAAATATACATATATGTATACATACATATAAATTCTTATGTAATGATAGGGAATGATCTTCCATGTTTATTGTTCTCTCTTTTTTTTCTTTCTCTATTTCCAACAGTTGAAGAATCATCAAAATCACACATAAATGAAATGCTAAACAAATCTCATTCCGATATACAGATTGATTTAAAGAATCAACAAATGGAAAGTGAACTAGAATTTGCACACAAACTAATGAACTCACCAGAAGAAATGGGTTTAAGTTTAGAGGGCAGGGATAATGAAGTTGAATGTTATGTACAAACAATATGTGAACCATGTACATTAAGTAAAAGTGCAATAAATTTTGATCGTTTACTACGTCGTATTGATACAACTAATGCACGTGTAACAACACTGATTAATTTATGCACTACAGCTATTTTAGCCTCAGATAAAACTGCTATTAATTTTCTAGTGAACAGTTTAAAACGTATGCGACGCAAACAAAATTTATTAATTAATGAAGCAGATGATACAATGTTGACATTTTTAAAAGATCCTCTGATTTTATTACGTTCAAAGAAGAAAAAAGCCGGTAAAAATGAAAGTGGCGTGAAATTCAGTATTAGTTATCCTGAAGATGATGATGATGATGACGACGATGAAGATGATGATGGTGATGATGTTGAAAATGATGTCGTTGGTAATGGTGATGTAAGAGAAGGTAATATTGAAGACAAATGTGAAAATAATAAAAAAATTGACGAGGCACAAATTCGTTGGGAAATGAGTAGTAATCAGTTAAGTACTGATTATTCCACAAGTGATAGTGATAATGATGGTCCAACACCGGAATTTGTTTTAAATTTATCTAAACAAATACGTAAAACAGAAGGCACACGATTAAAACAAAATTTACGTTTAATTAATCGCAAAAAATCATCGACTACAGGAAATAAAAAAACATCATATAATGTTCCACCACCTTTGAATCCACTTGGACATAATCGTAATGATTTATTACGTTCACATGCTACAGTAGCAAGTGGTCTTTGTCAACAAAGTCATAAATTATCATCATCATCATCTATGTTATCAACAAATGGATTACATAATACTGATCCAAATAATATAAAGTATACACCAACATTACCATTTAATTTATTAAGTTTAACTGGTCAATTATCATGGTTAATATCAGAATATATTGAACGTGGTAGTTCAACATATAAATGGGCTACAGAATTAATTAATTCTATTGGTAAAATGTCTGTTACACGATCTACATGGTTAAATGTACATCAACAATTAAGAGAAACAACAGAATTGCTATATTCCCATCGTGATCAACAATTAAAATTATATCATTCAACTAGTGAAACACCACAAGGTGAAATAGCATGGACTAAATTACAAGCTATACATCAAAATATATTAAATGGTGATTTAAATGCTTGTACAATTACACCGCATAATTTAAAAGTATTATGTCAATCCCCGAAACAATCAAACAACAGTAATAATGAAAGGAAATTAGTACAATTGTCTACTTTATTAGAGAAGAAATTACATTTAGCTTATTTATGTGATTTGTTACTATGGAAAGCTCATAAAATTATATTAACACAATTGAATTATACCGATGATGATATAGTCAAGTGTCAATCTATGGATTTTCAAATACGTTTATTTGAATTACAATTAGATCAATTGAATGGGCAGAATTGGTCCTCCAACTTAATGGATTATATGATGTGTTGGATAAGTGATATATGTGAATGGAAAGTTGAATTCAATTTGAACACCTCCGATATTGATTATTTTATGTGGAATGAATTTTATGTATTTAAAAATTCTGTTCAAAATTTATTAGATTTAGTTAAATCATTAAATGCTTGTAAATTAATAAGATCAGCATTAGATGAACAAAATAAAAATCAAATTGATATAAATAATTCTACTTATAATTGTAATTTAAGTAGTAGTGTAAGTAATATAAATTTAGAAGAAAATCAAAGTAGAACTTCATCAACAGATATATCATCATCATCATCAGCAGCAGCATCAAAAACACATTCACATCGTTCATTACATAATTATCATCCACATCAATCACATCATAGTCAAGGTGATTTTCGTGCTTTAGATGCTGATCGTTGTTCAAGATCATATTCAGCATTAATTAGACAAATACAAGAACATGCTATGAATAATAGACCATTAGCTTATTTTGCTGAACGTGCTTTATATGATATTGCAGTAGAATTAGGTTGTACAGTAAATTGGGATGAACGTTTTGATAGTTTAAGTAATGAATTAAAAAATGCATGGCAAGAATGGGAATTAATTATAAGGGAAAAAATAGATCGTGATTTCTAGTCGTTTATTGATTTTATCACATATAATATATTTCTCTAAATTTTTCTGTCATATTTTGAATTTATTCATATATAAAAACAGAACATTGAATAAGTGAGGGGAAAAACAACCCCCCCCATCCAAGAATGAATCAAGAAAAAAACAATAAACAAAAGAAAAAAAATTGTTTTTTCAGATCTAATCGTATTTTATCACCTCCCCTCTCACATTCATCTTTCATTCTCTTTATTTTTCTCTTTTGAAAATGTACTTTTTATTGAAAAAACTAAATTCCATTTATAATTATTTTTAAAAAAAAGAGATTCATTAGTACTATTGAAATGAGAATATTGAAATAAAAAAATGTTTTTTTTGAAGTTTCTTTGTGTTTTTTCCCTCTCCCCCTCCTCTCTCTCTCCTTCGGTCTAGTTGTTTATCTCATTTTATCGGTCGTGATTTGAAAGCTTAGATATTCTGCTGACATTGATCAACTATAGATTATTATTATTATTATTATTATTATTATTATTATTATTATTATTATTATTATTATTATTAGTCTTTTATCTTATTCATGTTAAAGTTGACTTCATTATTCTTCACAAGTTGATCTTTTACTGATGTTTTTTTTCTTTTTTTATTGAGTGTGTATTTTCTTCTTATTATACTGAATTCTTATTCAATATAATAAAAACAAAAGAACGAATCAGATTGAAATTTCTTACTTATTTCATTTGCATATTAACAGTGTTAAAATTGCATATTTGAATGGTTAATTATGTAAGGAGGGTATTTAAGGGTATATAAAATTTATAATTATATATGTGATTGATTAAATGGTAAGATTATAATTTATGGATGACCTTTGAGAAACGCTAAAGTGATATTTTTTTTGGAAATGTCCATCTAATAACTAATATTAAATGAGGGTTACAAACTAATGTGAGGAATTAGAATTAGGATTTACAGTGGATGGTTAGGTTTAGGAATTAGATTTATGATTTTCATCATGAATTGAGATCACCTATAATGCTAAAATGGGTGAATGAATTTTGTGCCAAAATCCAAGACACGTTATCCTAAATCTGATTAGTTTGCCCATAAATTATAATCTCACCAGATAAGGTACACAACTTACTTACTTACTTACTTACTTACGCCTGTTACCCCTTGTGGAGGAGCATAGGCCGCTCACCAGCATTCTCCATCCAACTCTGTCCTGAGCCTTCCTTTCCAGTTCTTTCCAGTTGCTATTCATCCTTTTCATATCGGCTTCTATTTCCCGGCGTAGTGTGTTCTTTGGCCTTCATCTCTTCCGCTTCCCTTCCGGATTCCAAGTTACGGATTGAGTCGTGATGCACATTGGTGATTTCCTCAATGTATGTCCGATCCACTTCCAACGTCTTTTCCTAATTTCCTCTTCAGCTGGAAGCTGATTTGTCCTCTCCCATAAAACGCTGTTGCTGATAGTATCCGGCCAGTGGATGTTGAGTATTTTGCGTAGACAATTGTTTATAAATACTTGTACCTTCCTGATGATGGTCGTAGTAGTTCTCCACGTTTCAGCTCCGTACACAAAGTGTAAATAAAAAGTCGTTGTCTTTTAAACTCTTACAGTGTTGGTAAGAAGGAATTTATATTTCCCTGAACCAGATAATTTTCAATGAAAATGATGAGTCAATAATATGTGACACACTTTAAATACTTCGCAGCCTTCATAGGTAGAGTAATCTGATAAAAATCAAATTGACTAAGATTCCCAGATGATATATAAAACAATACACTTGAAACTTCCTTACTCCTTATTGGTAGTGTAACTGTCACTACAGTTAAGTGAGGTCATGTCAAATACATCAATATCAAGGTTTGACTTGATAACTTAAAATAAATTGAGTAAAATGTTAATAATAAGGTAATGATATATTGATGATACCCCAATGAGCAGAAATTGCAATTTCTGATATCTTGTAAATTAGTATGATTTGATTCTTCAGAGAGGAAGTAAATAAATAAATACCAACAAGTCATAGAGAATCGAAATAAATAACCTAATTAAACTAAATTTCAAGAAGCAAAGAGAAACAAAGCGTAGTATTCAGTTCAAGTCAAATCAAAATAGACCCGTTTATGCTAATATCATGTGAATTATGTGGTCAAGGAGATAATGTAAGACATCACTATGTGTATTTGTATGTATGAAGGTGGGTGCTTTATTCGCTGGATTAAGATACCACCTAGAGCCGGTGAACAGAACAAAAGTAAGCACCACAACAACAGGACAAGGTAAGTTATTACACTGCTTTCCAGCGCTACTAACTAAAGGGAAAAATCAAGATTTAACAGGGAAAAAATATACTTTCCACAATCAGTCTGGAAGAACGAACGAACAAGCACACAGCTCATACGTATATTTACTACACAAAAGTGTCCGCTAAAAAACTTCCCGAAATGATGTATAAAGGAGGAAACGAACCATTGACATCTAAGGGTCTTTCGGGTTGGAAGCACAAACTGGGCAGGTGAAAATGGGGGCTTTTGGCGTGAAAATGGGTGTTCAAATTTTCATAATACGATCACAAAAATGAGTTTACTAAATGATTTCTGGGGATCTAGCATCCCAAAAAGTGGAGAGGAAAAATGTGAAAATTCTCATATGAAGTAGACGTCAAACGCTAGTTTGTGTGTAGTGATCGTGCGAGAAATGGATAGAATTAAACGTGGTTCCTTGAATAAATTTAATTTCGCAAGAATGAACTTAAACTAATTTTTAAAATGTCAGAAACTGAAATTCCCACTCGTTGAGGTATCATAAATATACCATTATTTTGCTGTTCTTGTCGAATGCTCTTGAGATTTTTTTCAATGTGTTCAAAAATATCACATCTTGCAAAGGAATATGTCGTTTATATAGTCTATTTCAACTGGAAAGTTTCTTTGTCGATAAAAGATTGATCGTTAAACTATTAAAAATAAGATTTCTATTTAAATCTCTAGTGAATTTCATCAAAGATTGAGAAGGTTAGTATTTTCGATTAGTTAAATCATGTGATAGTTCACGAAGCATTTTCAAGAGAAACTCATTATTTCACTACAGCACTTACAAAAATGTACCACGAGTATACAGTATTTTGTTTAGAAAAACAATCATTACAAGCTGTTGCAACAGAATCGACCGAGATGTTGATTTCAGATCAAGAAATATCCTTATCGATAATTTATCATCATTCCATTCAATTCATTATTTAAATTATGGTTTTTGATACTTCAGTTAAGTATTTAACGATTATCAACTCTAACATTTTGACTTCTTTACTGTATAGTCATTATACAAGAATTAGAGGCAACCACAAAAAGATATCACTGTAATGAATAAACGTCTTTTTTTAGTATTCAAGGTAGAAGGGTATAAAGATTGAAAATCAGTAGGTGGTCCGATTACTACTTTTTTAACTAATTGAATCAATGAACTACGTGATCTAAATAATTTGTTTTATTCTGATTGTTATCACTCGTCATAAACTAGGTAAGATCATCTAACTGAGCAGTTTTTTAATTACAATAATCTACAGATCCACATTCTGTCAATTTATTTATCTTTTGATATCAGCAAAGTATGATATTTTAATGGAAAATTACTGTTTTACTCAAAAATCAGGTACTGTGAAGAATTTGTTATAGAGACTATTGATCTGAGAACTCGATTTATTTCTGTTTTTGATTACAAACCATTCTCATTTATGTGTACAAGTATATTTATTATTAGATGTTAGATCGAATTTGATGAATAATGATTGTAATCTTCATTCCAGTTAATAATTATTAATAAATTCAACTTAGTATTGTTTGTTTGAATCTTCCCATCGATTTGTTAGGACTGCAACTGGTTAGTCTCTAATTGGTATATGTGCATACTGTGCGTATTGCCTCGATATACCTTAATTCACAAGCATGGTTAGCAGAGATGGATAGTGGATAACGCGATGGCGTTTGAAGCGAGGGTACTGGGTTCGAGTCCCAGAGTGAACATCAACTCTGAGATGCAGGTACATCCAACTGACGAGTTCCAAATAGGACGAAACGCGCGTCCTGGATTCCAATGCTAGCCACTATCCATCTCTGCTAATTATTAATAAGTTATTAGTTAATTTATTTCTCCAGTTGGCTCAGTTTTTTACGATGGGAGTGGTGATTAGTAGAGTGAATTACTTGACGAGAGTTGGCAGAAAACTCATGTCCTAAGTCTTATGCTAGTGATTTTACGTCGGTAAGATAGATGTCCAAACTTGATCGATAATACTTGATTAACACTAAGGATTAAATAACATGATAATGGTTACCAATATGGGACCAGTTGTAGGAATGATTCAAGTTAAGGGAAAACTTATACTGAAGTAGGGTACAAACCAGTGAACTTCAAATTAGTCATCCTCACAGACTGAGTTATGAAGTCTTAGTACTAATTAGAACTAAATTGAATATCATTTAAGTTTAACTATAAACACAAAAAAATGCAAAAGAGTAAATCGTTTAAATTACAACATCACTAGTAATATCATTCAGTAGGGATAAATGTCATTGCTCGTCTAGCTGTTTAAGGCTAACTAATTTCAATAGATTCAGATGCATTTCACTCACCAATCAAAGTGACATGACATAGCGTGTGGTCTGAAACCCATTGGAGGCATCAGTCCCTTCAGGATTACAGGTACGCTATGCTGATGAGTGTCAACTGTCACAAAACCTTTGTCTGCGGTCTTCTGCCACTACCTTTAACAACATGACATCTCAATAGTGTGCATGCAGTATTGAGTTACCTAGAGTAGTGACCTCATTACGATTTATTTATTCATTATCTTGATTATACCTGTCATTGTCCTGACAATTAATTATTTATCAATGGAGGTATGTATTTTCTTTCTAGGTAGCAGTCAAAGTTATAAACTCATTCTATCTTTTGTAAATTCATAAATGGTATACAAATCGGTATCTTTGAAATGTTCGATCATCAGTTTGGCGATTTTGTAAAACTTCTATTTGATTTCTCCGTTCTGATCTTTGAAAAGGTTTTTTAAATAAAGGTATGATTCTGTTTACCTATCTGAAGGCAAGAATGAACTCAGATTATAACTACTTACTGTCATTTTAACAGGCATAGATACAAAGACAACAATTAAAGGGATTTCTTTAAAATAGAAGTTAGTTTAGCTAGGGTAAACCTCCTATTTCTATATTGATTTATAAAGGCTTCCAATGTGTTGGTGACATATATATATATATATATATTGATCTCAGATAATTATACTGGTCTCTATATGGTTGATGTAGAGTATCATTTTCGGAAACAAAAACCATGTTTTGATGTTAAGGTGGATAGTTATTTATTATTGAAACTCGTTGAATAGTCATGTATTATATTAAAACACTTTATACAACATATACTTTGTTTGATCATTCAAAAGGTTTCAATATATCTCCTTATAAGCTATCTAAAAAATTAAAGGTATCATTATTACTATGAGTAATACTACTTTTGTTATTAAAAGTGTTTGTTTCTATTTAGACATTTGATAAACACATTTAAAAATGTTCGATTAAAAAAATGTTCTCCATAGTTGAAAGCGTGAGTCAATTGTAGCTAGACCACCAGGGAAAACCTGGAAGCACTGGATGGCCGTTTCATCCTGTTGTGGGACTCCTCAGCAGTGCGCATCCAC